AATGCCACACAAATGCCACACAAATGCCACACAAATGCCACACAAATGCTGCACAAATGCCACAAAATTGCTGCAAATTGCCACAAAATGCGACAACACAATGCCGCCCGATGCCACACAATGCCGCCCAATGCCACACGATGCCCCACAATGGCGCATGCAGTTTGCAAGTTCAGATCATGGCCTGAGCCCGCTGGGGTTGTGGCATCTGAAGGAGATTACGCGATCTTCATTCCTCCCGGGAACAACTCGACAAGGCAGGTGGTGGATTACACTGTGCAGGAGCTAATCATTACAGAAAGCTCTCTTTCCTTGCCAATGGGACGGGTTCAGTCCGAAGATGCGGCTAACGGGGAAGAGGGGGGCGACACCGTCCAGACGAATGGAACAGGCAAAATCTACAGCGGCGTCAGCTACACACTGATTTCAAAGGCCATCGGGATCTTCCCAGCGGCTTCCACAATTGAGCCCAGCCTTCTGATGCTCCGCTTCTGGGTAATTGAGCAAATGATACAAAAACCCGATAAGGCCCCCCCACCCATATCCTCCCCTCCCCCACCCCCCCCGCTCCCCTCCAGTATCATCTCCTTCTCCCCGCACTACACCCACCCACAAACTCAAACAATTGTTTTAATAATTAAATTATAGCAGGTACATTCAGCTGAGTTGTGTTTTACTTGGGTATGTACATAGTATATAGCATGTCGTTCAAAATAATAATAATAATAATAATAATAATAATAATAATAATAATAATAATAATAATAATATATATCGTCAAACAGAGGATACATATATATAGGGTTGCCGGCGTTCGGGTTCGGCCGAACTCCCCAACTCGAACCTGGTGAACGTTCGGCCTCCCTTGGGGATGCGTATATCGTCAAACAGAGCTGTCGATGGTAAACCGTAGGCGGAGAGGGAGGGAGAAGGGGACAACAAACGAGGGGCTGTGACAAACTGTTTCGTCGGAGTGTCACCGACTCATCAGGAGGCTGAACCCTCAACAGTCTGTAGAATCCCCTCACTGATTACACTGTAAGTGATAATCCACCACAACCCCGGTTGTGGTTAAGCATCAATGACTGCCCTGCACCGACCAATGCTTTTCAGCCGTGTGTGTGCCAAGTTTGGTGTTTGTTGGGGTCTTGGAGTTGACTGTTTTGGCTAGCCCTGAAAAATCCTGAAAATCCTGAAAACTGCGTGAATTTCGCATGAAAACACATTTTTGCCTAGCTGTTTTATAGGTTTTAAAAGTTTTTTTTTGCAATTTTGTTTTGGTAAGTAGTTAGTATGATCTCCACTCTATGAATTGGTGGCAAGTTTGGTTAAAATGACCCTTGGGTTTTGTTATAAATAGCCTGACAAGTGGTCTGAAAATTGAGGCCTCCGTTAACCGTCTCTCATTTTTGGACCTTTTTTCTGTTTCTTTGTTTTTTTTTACAGGGACCTTCCGGGGCCATTGCCTGGGTGGGGGCGCCTGGACACCCTCAACCTTGAAATTAAGATCTGAGCTCAAATCCTCTGATGAATAAAAGCAAACATAAGAAAAAAAAAAAAAAAGCAAACATCAACTCTGTGCAAGATATGAGCGAGAGCGATGGCCAGAAACCCAAGTTGCAAAATCACGAAGTAGTCCAGATAGTCATGTATCAAGCAGAAAGCACAATGCACCAAGATTCCATCCACATAAGAGCAATACAAAGAACTCAAGTGCCAATGCCGACACTCCTGGTCACATCAACACTGTATCCTCCAATGTCGCTCCTACTGTCTGGCGCTCAGTGCCCAGTCTATCCAGCCTATCTACGTTGAAGCGACCGGATCATGCCGAAGTCGAAGACCAACGTACGTGACGTCAACGCCAATGCCAACCGCCAGCATACACCAGGTGCGTTCTCTCTCCTCCCCTCATCGCCCCTTGATCACCTCCTCATCCGCCTCCTACCCGAAGACCACCGTCGCCATCACCGGCATTGCGCCCCTGCAGCCCGGCTATGGCTGCTGTGCGCCTGCTGGCTCGCAGCGCCCCTCTCACCTCAGCGCCCGTGCGCGCGCCCGACCCGCAGTACGTATGCAGACACTAACGCAGCAACGCAGCAGCGTGTCCGCATTGCCTGCCAAGGCCAGACTGCACTTCCCAGGGGCTCACAAGTGTTCCGCTGCTGGCTGTCTTGGGCAGGCGCGTGGGGGCCCCAGTAGCTTCAGTTGGGCCTCAAGCGTCTGCGCCCAGGCCCAGTTTCCGAAGCTGGACTGGGCCTCGTGCAGTTAGGCACGTCCAGGGAGCCACCCAGCCGCCTCCAAGTGGTTGCAGCCTTCTCATTCGCTCACTCGCGGCACATGTGTGACGACAATGCTGCTTCCTCATTGGCCCGTAACCTGTGCGTGATGTGTCGGCCTCACACAGCGTGTGCCCAGGGCGCAACCGCCTGAGCCCTGGGCTCAACTGTACAGCGCAGCCCTTTGCTTCTGGAAAGAGCCTGGAGGCTCACGTCGCACTGTAACCAACTGGCGTGCTGCAACTGTCTGAGTACCCACATATGGAAAAATTGTCAAGAACAGGCCTCACTTGGATATTCGGACGTGCCTTCACTTAGGGCGGGCCCGAGGCTTGCTAAGGGCCACAGCCCGGAACACTTGTATGTCTGATGAGGGCTCTGTGAGGTCTCATTCCTCGCATCTGAATTTAATAATTTATCTAAGCTCAAATCCTTTTTTTCCTTTTTTTTTTAATTTAAATTATAAAATGGAAAAGATCGACTCTTCCTGGATTCATCTCCCATGATGTGCAGGTGGGGACCACCAACAGACGCAGGCATCTACTTCAGCAGGACTTATTGGCCTCAGAGGAGAATGATATCTGGAACCAGCAGCAGAATAAGGATCGAGACAAGGATACTGGCCATTGCAAGGAGGGGAAAAAGGAAGCAGCCGACAATTTGCCGGTGAATGGCACAACCGGCGTGGAAACATCGTCTTTTGACAGAGGCTCGCTCGAAGCAGAAGCACTTCTGCACAAAGCAGAGCAGAAGAAGAGAGGAGAGGACAGCAGGGGAAAAGAAGAAGAAGGGAGGAGGGCAAAAAGCAAAGACAGCAAGCCATTCGACGGAGCAGTGAGGGGGTTCACCGATGGAATGCCTCAACAAGGACGAAGACGGCGTTTTGTTCCATTGAGTCGGGACCAAGTCAAGGAGGAAGGAGTTCATCCCGGCGGCGAACTAAAGGAGGGACCCCGTCTCCCAAGAAGCTCCTCCTCCTCCTCCTCCTCCTTGCCCTCCTCCTCCTCGAGACACTTGTTGGATTCAATTGATTATAATCCAGAAGCGATCGTTGTTGTGCACCAACAAAGAATTCCAGACAAGTTTAACCTCCTTGTTGACGAGACCATGTCGTGGTCGATGCTCAGCGACAAAAACTTCACCATCGAGGATGGCTATGCGTCTGCGGTTATAACATCATTTGGCATTTACGCTGTCGCAATAGAAACAAGTAGGTCTTTCCCTCCTTTCCTTTTTTCCTTTTTGTTAATGTGTGCGTGGGGGGGGAGGGGGGGGGGGGGGGGGGGGCCAGGGGRTGGGTTGGGGGAGGACATGGGGGTGTTTGGATGTGCAACAAAGATATTAATTCAATTTAAATTATTTAATTGAGATAAAAGTAAATAATGTAGTATGTACTTCGAGATTTAAAAATTTACTAAATTATTAATTTATTATGCATATACTATGGTTTATTCGGGCCAAAGAAAGATGAAATGAACCACGCTGGGCCTGTTTCCCAGTCTGTGATGATGTGATATACTCCTTAAAAAAAAAAAAAAAAAAAAAGAACCACCCAAAGGCAGGGCTACAGAACATGACAGGTCCTCGGGGACATACGTTCCAATTGAGACGATAGAAAGAAAAAGGAGATTAGCATGGGCCCAGGACAAGGATGACACGCGTAAATCTAGAAATCCCGGCCCATATGGGGAAAAAGAAAACAGAGCATGGAAGCTGCAGCCGTTTTGTGTGCATGGCTGAAAGCGTCCGTCCAGGTCCGCTGCAGTGCTGGCCGAGCTATTGGCCGCGGGAAAAAAATAGAGTAGAAACATTTCTTGTCGGATGAATTTGGGCGCTCCTGTAGTGGCCCGTACGTTTCCTAAAATTGTGGCAGCTTGTTAACAGGCACGACTTTAGGAAGTACTGGTGGTTTAACTTCACCCTACAGCCTCCCGCCCTGCGCTCCCCCCCCCAAAAAACAGAACAGATGGTCATTATCGCCACGTCTAGACTGCAAGGTGCCCCAAATGAAGCTATAATCAGTGTGCGCCGTGCGTTCGATTCGGGTGAAAACGGTAGTCTTAGCGGCTAAATGGATCTGCACATCTGAGCCCTAAATCCTCGTCCGTACATGCACGGATTCGAACCGGTCACGTCAGTCTCAGGAGCCAAGTATCTTAACCATGACAGCCAGGACACGGTGTTCATTTTTTATATATATTGTCACATAACTATGAACTAAAAGAGCGCAATATATATATACGTCATATATATATATCGTCAAATAGAGCTGCCCGGTAAAACCGTAGGCAGAGAGGGAGAAGAGGACAACAAACGAGGGGCTGTGACAAACTGTTTCGTCGGAGTTTCACCGACTCATCAGGAGGCTGAACCTCAACAGTCTGTAGAATCCCCTCACTGATTACACTGTACGTGATAACCCACCTTAACCAAAATCAAAGTAGACTATCACTCACCCACACCAGATGGAAAACTCTACAGACTGTCGGTTCACACCCCATCACAAGCCAGCAAAACACCCACGAAACAAAGAAAGGTCTGTCACAGCCAAAAAATACACTCCAGACACGCCGTCAAACAGAGCTTCCCGGTAGACTGTAGGGGCAGAAAGGGAGAAGAGGACAACAAACGAGGGGCTGTGGCAAACTGTTTCGTCGAAGTTTCACCGACGCATCAGGAGGCTGAACCCTCAACAGCCTGCCTGCAGAATCCCCTAACTGATTACACTGTAAGTGATAATCCACCTTAACCCCGGCTGTGGTTAAGCATCAACCACTGCCCGACAACTGATACCCTGAGGTGGGCACCAACCACTGCCCTCAAGGTACCTGTGGCAAAAGTCAAAGCAGACTATCACTCACCCACACCAGATGGAATATATATATATATATATATATATATAGATGATATATATATATCGTCAAATAGAACTGCCTACGGTAAACCGTAGGCAGAGAGGGAGAAGAGGACAACAAACGAGGGGCTGTGACAAACTGTTTCGTCGGAGTTTCACCTTGTCTATAATATATATATATATATATTTGTGTGTGTGTGTGTGTGTTCAAAATTGGAACCAGGCTTGAGCACAGATAATGACAATAAAAAAAGGCTTGAAAGGCCATCCTGTCCAGATTGGACAGGTAATTGAATTGGTTTAGGGTTTAAACCTCTAGTACACCGCCCCAGCCTTGCAGTCCGAAGCCTGTCGCCACAAGAAACGGAGGCCGAAACGTCAAACGCTGGGACCGCCGTCGATAAATTCGATTGGCGGCCCTGTTTTCGTTTCGGTCCTCCAGAATTTGAGGTGCCAGACCCGCAGGCCAGTTGCCCATGTACCTTTGCCGCTTCAGGAATGAGGGAAAACGCCAGTCCCCGTTCAAACCACACTAGTACCTTTGCCGCTTCAGGAATGAGGGAAAACGCCAGTCCCCGTTTAAACCGCACTAGTACCTTTGTTGCTTCAGGAATGAGGGAAAACGCCAGTCCCCGTAGAATTCGGAGGCCGGGCCGGACGACGGCAGCCATTGATAAATCTTATCAGCGGCCGTCATTTCGTTTCGGCCTCCTGAAAGGTCGGTGGCCTGCTATTTTCGGAACCGACAAAGGTATCATAGTCGTTATTACCTATTTTGGGAACACCACCCAGCATCAAGTGTATCATGAAGGGCAGGAAACCAGGTAGGTGGTCCCGTTAACGGGCGAGACATCATGGAGCAAGCCCCAAAACCAGACCGTCTTCCCCTGAACATAATAACGCACCCTGAAATTGAACGTATACAAGGTATGTTTCCAGCCCAATACACTCAAAATGAGGGTGCGTTGTTGTGTTGGGGGGGGAAGACCGTACTCTCTGCAAACCCGGACACAGTCTGTAACAAAAACAAGACAATTTTTTCACCAGAAAACAGAGGCCTAACTGGCAAACAGGAGAGAGGACAGAAATTAACTGGGGGGGGAAAAAAAAAAAAAAAAAAAAAAAAAACAGAGGCCTGACTGGCAAACAGGAGACAGGACAGAAATTAAGTGGAAGAAAAAATAAAAATAAAAAAATTCAGCAGACGATTGAGGGCCAGCTCGCAAAGAGGAGAGAGGGGAGAACCTTTTTCTCTTTTTTTTTCCTTTTTTTTCATCAGACAGCTAGGGCTGCTGTTGGGACCAGACACCACTATCATTCCCGGGAAAGGGCCTCGCCACACCTACCTCGAAAATCGATTTTTTTTGGAGAGCACTCTCGAATGTCGGAATTGGAGAAAACCGGTTCGAGAGGGGTCATCGCCACATTGCACTCGCGAAGAGGCACTCTCCACTGTTTCAGAAGAACCCCGTGATTTTTCCTGAGTTTTCACGAGGCCGCAGATTGTCGGTCGCGGCACACTCTCCATTTTCGGGCCGAAATCGGGTTCGCCTTGGACCGCTCTCCAAAAGGGCCACTTTGCAGGCTGGGTCTCTCGAAAAGTTCATGACCACTCCTCAAACCCGCGTCCAGGCCGCTCTCCAAATTTTTTCTGACACCGATTTTGGAGAGTTGGTATGGCGATGCTTCTCCTCTCCAAATCGGTGGTTTCGGGATAGGTGTGGCGAGGCC